GATGGATGGAGGCACCTCCATCACATCCTGCACATGCTGAGAACTGTATCAGTTACTGATGTGGTAATTGCTCCTCATCATCATTGCAAGGTGCACTATCAGGATGAAGTGCAATGGCCAAAGGCAGTAACTTTAGTAACCTGTAGGCAGAGTGGGAAACAGACACACTTCGGTACTCCCAAAGGGAAGTTTTCTGTTGCAGGAGTTGTGTGTGGAAGTCTCCAAAGGTTGTGTCCAGCCTGTGGAAAGCATGCTGTGCTGGCACAGGCACATCCTGAGGTGGGGAGGTCAAGTGTTCGGGGTAACTCACTGAACAGCCAAACACAGAGGAACTCTTCCCTCTGGAATCAGCTGCAAAGATCAGGCCATGACCACACACTGATGTCATGGCAGGGCTATGAAGGCAGAAGCAAATTATGTCTGATGCAGTGGAAAGGTGGAGCCAATGGAGGGATGTAAATGTGGAAGAGGAGAGCAAATACTTAGCAGTGTTGATGACACATTTGCAGGCATCTCATCTAAGTACCTGCTCATAATAGTGTCCCAGTGGGTAGCCATTGGTTTAGGTACTAGCCAAGATAAGAAAGGGTGGTAGAATTGAGTCAAGATAAGCACTGTTCCATGAAAGTGTCAGAAATTCATCCTTCACTTTCACAATCACACCCTTCAGTTTGGAAAGATCCTTCACATAAGCACATTTAAAGAGCCATACTGGGTCCAACCAATGGTCCATCCAGCCCCCTATTCTGTCTCCAACAGTGGTAGAAGTAGATGCTACAGAGGGAAAGCATTGGACTGGATCTCTCTACCCACCCTGGCATCCACCATTTGCTAGTTTAGAGAGGCCAGAGGAAACTTCTCCAGCTATTTTGTTTCATAACCAATAATAGTTCAATCATCCATGAATTTATCCAGTCCCTCTTTTAACCTGGCTGTGCCATCTTCCTCCACCACCTCCTGTAGCAATGAACTCCACAAGTAAATTAGGCATTGCATTAAAAAAGTACTTTCTCTTGTTAATTTTAAACCTGTCACCTACTAATTCCAGTGGGTGGCCCCTGAGCTGATGTTTGTAGAGTACTTAAAGAAAATTTTGTCCCACAGCCCTCTACCAAACCAGTATCAGGAAGTGTTGCATTCCAGTTTTCTCAGAAAAGAAATCACCATGAGGTCTCTGAATATACTAAAGTCTTTCACTCATTCCAGGATACAAACATTTGTTTCTGCTTATGGTCCCCAAGCCCAAAGCTGCAGCACAAGCAGCAAACACTTGCATGTAGCAAGAATTATTAACTTGAGTTACAACACAGATGAGATGTCTGGTAAAGGCAGCACTTTAGATTAATGCTATCAGATAATACTAAACATTACATAATTTTTTATGTAATTACAGCATTAGCGATATTCTTAGAAAAATGCAACTGACTGGAAGTGATTTGGAATTAGGATGAACATCACCCTTACCTATTCCATTATCTCTCTCTTATAAATGATCATACTTGGCAATTAATAAGCAGCAGGGAAAAATATTGACAGAGGAATATTGAGTTATTTTCACATATTTTATCACTGATAACATGCTAAACAATACATATAGAAATAACATTATATAAATAGCAATCTAAGGTGATATATGAAGTGTGGAATTGAGTTATAACTGTTTAGGCATGCGCATTAAAAAGGCGAGTGCAGTGCTTTTGAGCAATGATCATTTTGCTGAAAGAAACCTTTGATTACTAAAATTATTCCTATGGAATTTTCCCTACTCTAGTTCTATCTGCCTAATATTTGAAGTGAGAAAGAAAAAATTAATCCTATCTGAAACACAACTGGGGCCAAATTCTAAGCTGTTATGTGTCTACATGGCATCATTGACTTTAAGGAAACACTCTGATATCCACCAGCTGAGAACATGTGCCAGGCGAAGGTGTGTAGCAGCACAGTCGCTATTTCTTCATTTAGTATCCAGCTCTTTTGTTTCTCCCCCAAATACCCCTGAAGACATTAAAGTTCATCTCTGAGACCCAAGCTAACAGTCTCCAGCTCCTCTTTCTGCTGCAGCTGTTGCCCTAGAGGCGGCTTGCTATCCCAGTGAATGTTTCTCGCTGCTCTCACGGCAGATTTCATGGAAGAATCAATCCAGGCATGAGGCCAAGCTGTGTGCTCTCCTGCAAAATGGACCCTCCCTTCCTTCTGAAATAGGGCCTTGGAATAGTCCATGAACTGGTAGGGGGTGAAGAAGGCGAAGGCCCCCATGGAATGTCTGTCCAAGTTCCACCGTTGTATCACGTGCTTATCACAGACGTACTGGATGTAGTCCTTGGGTATGCCGTGTACTTCTGCTAGGTCATCTAGCACTACATCGATGCACTTCTCATCACTGAGAGGAACGAAGAAGTCAGCATCATCGTTCCAAGTATAGGAAGCCAGGATCACACCCACCCCACTGGAGAAGTTGTGGTTGGGGTAGTAGATGAACCTGGAGGGGCGATCAGTGATTGACTGCCCACCATGAATCCCATCCCTTTCCCAGAACTTCTCAGTGCAGGCCAAGGCAATCTTGGTGGAGCTGGAGTAGTGAACAGAGCGCAATGCATGTGCCTTTTGGCGGGAAAGCAGTGGCATAAAATTGATGAGTCTTGTGGCTTTGGCTGAGGTGGTAATAAGGACATAGTCAGCCGTCAGGACATAAGGAGCCAGCGTGTCTGGTGCACGGTAAACAACTCTAACCTTATTACCCTTTGTTATTATCTTCTCAACCGTGGCGTTAAGCTGGACAATGCCAGGCATAGAGTAATGGAAGGCAGTGGGCAACTGGTCAAAGCCCCCTGCAATTTCATCAAAGCTGAAAAAAATAAAAAAGTTAAAGTCAAACCAGACACTTTACTATTTGTAGCAGTAACATGATTGCTTCTAAGAGGTATCACAGAGAAGGGGATCCCTCTAAGCTATGGTTAGCATATAACATGACTCTCATAACAAGATTCCCACCTAATGGAATCTTGGTGGAGTGATTCAAACAGGCCCCAAAATTCAATAGGCACCTCCATTTTTTATGGCAAATTTCCCTAGATGTTTACACTGGGGCTTCTGAGTATCCTCAAAAGTGATTCTGAGCACCTAATTACTGCCTTAGATCCACTGCAATTCAAAGTGTTGCTGGGCGCACCTGAATTTTGCTTAAGTCTCTGCAGAGGTTGGTGGGGAAAAAGAGTATACATCTCATTCTCACTGACCATAGCAGAGTGATTAGAGTGCTGTTAGGGGTACCTGGTACCTCCTGAGTCGGGGGCGGGGGGAAGGGGCACAATTTGTGGGAGGGCCAAAAGCTTCATATCCACTCATATACTTCTGTGTTGTGGTTTAGTGCCTCCCCTGCAACATACCACCGGCCCGCACAGCAAAAAAATTGCTCTGTCCTGGGCGGTACCAAGTCAGGGACCAATCTCAGGAGAGGCACATGCCCCCCCCATGCCCACCCTACCAGTCGCCTGTGAGCACTGTGCTGGGAAGCTGGAGGGATGCAGTTTTAGCTTCACTTTGGGTGAGAGAGGCCTAAAGCCCTAGTTATCTCTTTCTCTGGGTGAGTGCCTTAACCACTCAGCAAGGAAGGCTGAAATATGAAGACCTGTCATTTGGGCATATCAAGTGCAATAGGTGTTGCCACAAATGAATTAGAGCTCCTGTTCCTGCCTGGTAACACCTCAGAAAAAGCAGAGGCAATGTCTTAGCAGTAATTTAGAATTTGAGGCCTAGCATACTGTACTTGCATATGACACACTAGGAAAAGTGACTATCCCTGGTTTAGAAATA